TTATTTAAAAGTGGTAATTTAAAAAAAATTAGTTTTAAAAACAATATTAATAGACACACATGCTTTTTCCCTTACCCAACAAACGAAAAAAGAAAAACAAATACAATAAAGTAGTGAGAAATGATAACTTATATCATTTTAGCTTTTCAGGATTCTTATTCTCATCTCTCCTCTTCTAATAACCACAACCAACTAATGTCTTTAGGAACATGAAAGCTTTATTATAAATGTATATATGTATATATTCTCTCTTTACTCTTTCTTCTTCTTCTTGGGAATTAGGGAAAGAAGATGAATGATTGGGCTGCTCCATTGATTGCTGCTGCTCTATTTGCGTTTCTGTCACCAGGACTGGTTTTTCAAATACCAGGGAAGCAAAGGCCAGTTGATTTCGTGAACATGAAGACAAGTGTGGCAGCAATCTTTGTACATACTGTTCTCTATTGCTTGTTTCTTATGTTGTTTCTTGTTGTTCTTCATGTTCATCTCTACCTCTAAGATATATATATATATACACGTATATGTATATATATGTAGCAAAAGTACTAAAAGCAAAAAGATTTGTGTTCTTGACCCCCCCAAAAAAAAAAAAGTGAAGAGAGTTTGATGAACACCCTTTTGCCTTTAGATTTAGCCTTGTAAGCTCTATTTGTTAATGAAGAAACCGTTCAAAAGTACCCTCTGTTCTTGCTATTTATCTGTGTATATGTATGTATATCCATCCTCTTACGGGGATATGTAGAGGAAAAAGTAGTTATCGATTGATTTTGTTTAATAGAGGGTTATATTTGTGAATAGATCAACAGGAAAAGAGAGTTATTCGGTTCTTGTTCAAGCCCATATATATATATATATGTATGTAACTATCAAGAAATCATGGAAGGTTTAAGAAAAAAAAAAAAAAGCTTAAGTAGTCCAGGTGGTCTAAATCTCTACAGTTATTTCTTGTGTGCTCCATAGAAGAGTCTACCCTTTAAGATTGTTTGAAAGAAAAAACTTAATTTTGATGCATAAAAACTAGCTCACCAAATAATCTTACCTTAAAACAATATACATGCGCGCGCATATATACACACTCGTACTCTACTAACCCGAAATGAAAATACGATACTTTAGTCAAAAATATTATAAATGGTATCAAAGTTTGTGATAATTTAATAACTCTAACTATATTATAAAGTTTTGAACTTAATAAAGATATTAAATATTTGAGTGGTGAAAATTGTGATACTTAAATTCGCATGGAATATCAATAATTAAAATTTAAATTTTTTAAGTATTAGTAGTGATTGTGATAAAAACATTATATAAAAAGTTATTTTCATACTAAAAGGAAAAGTTAAATTTCATGATTCACCCTTTTACTTGGTATTGTAAGCTCTCTTTTGCTATTGAAGATTTGGAACTTGGCAACCCCGCTAGAATCACTCTGGTTCTTGCTCTTGTATGTGCTTGTAGCTTATTGTCAAGCAAGCAAATATATGCCTGTGTGTGTGTGTGTGTGTATGTATAGAGTGAAAGGGTAACAAAATATGAGTTTCTGTTCAAATCAAGACTAATGAGATGCACTTATACCCTTATTATTATTTTTTCTTTTTTGGGTAATGATATCTTTAGATACATGTATAGATCAACTTGATACAATATATATGTTATATATATCAAGCAAATAGCAGAGGAAGTTTTATAGATCAACTTGATACACTATGTATGTTATATATACGCATATATAAACATACATATATTGCAGTGGATAATTTACTAGTTCTTTTTGGTGTACGGAGAAAAAACGCTGCAGTTTTTGTTGCTGAAGAAACAGCCTGATTAACAGCAGGATAAATACATACATACATATATACATGCATTAGCAATATTTTCAGTCAAACCTTACGGATCTAAGGAATACGCAGATTCGCTAGTTAGCAGTAGTGGAAAAGATACTTGATTGATCTTTTATCCCCTTAATAATATATACGTATATATATATACACATACACGTGTGAGTGTGCGGATGAGAATCCACTTGCCATATTCACTCAAAAGAAAAAAAAAAAAAAAAAACCCAGATGAAAATATGAAACAAATTAAATCCTTAAATTCACAAGACTTCAATATACAGATCTCACTTTATAAAACCAGAAACTAATTACAAGAAAAATTTCAGAAAAAGAAAAAAAAAAAAAAACTCCAAGTAGATATAATTATAATTTCTGAAAAAAAAAAACGTTAATTACCCTAAAATTTAATCACAAAACCCAGTTAATACACACACTTAAAATCACTATTTTGATTATTAAATTTTTTGTAACTAGGATCAAGAACCAATATACATGTGGACACCAACAGCTAGCAAGAAAATACAAATGAGAGCAAAGTAGAGAATTGAATGAACCAATATGGAGACTCCGCTTGTCTGAAAATTTCCAAACTCCACGAACCGGCTTTTCCCCGGTACTTGAATCAGCAATCCGGGCGTTAAAAGGATGAAAAGCACAACGGCCACGAATACCGGCCCCCAATCCGACATTCTTTTTTTTTTTTTAATAATCACTCACACAGACACAGAGAGATTTGTTCCTATTTATTGATATTGATGTTGAATTTTTCTTTAGAGGGTGGAAATGAGGGAAGGTAGGGAGATGATTATAAAGGAAGCAAGGAGGCGTAATGGCTTTGGGAAGAAGAGATAAGAAATTGGTGAGTTGGAAAAGTGAAGATTAAAGAATGAAGCTATTGAGATTCATAGGTGTTACAATGTTTATATGTCTTCAATTATGTATATATATATATATATGTATGTACCCTTTTTGTTTTTTAGTGCTCAACATGAGCACATGGGCTTTACAATGTTTTAGAAGTCTTAATAGTGAAGGAAATTTCTTAGTTGTTGGAGGAATTTGGATGTATTTTATCTTGTGTCCTTGATATGCTAGGTAGGTTAGAAACTTTTTTATTATTACTAAAAAGGGAATAAACCATGACAAATTTGGGAGTGAGTTTCATCTTGGATTCATTTCTATAAGTTATTAATTTAATTTTTTTTAATTATTAATAAAAATGAATTCAATCATCACCGAATGCGAAATGAGTATATTTTTATAAGTTATGAACTTAATTTTTTTTTTTGTTATTAATTGAAAGAGATTTAATTATGATAGGTTCAAGAACAGGTGTCAGCAAATGTAAACTTGATATGTTTTTATGAGTTGTAAACTTAAATTTTTTGAATGATTTTATGAATTTAATTTTATTTTTTTGAATTTTGTTGCGTTTGTTGGTTATATGATCTGAATATAACGGAATCATTAATTAAAAAAAATTAATTTTTTAAATATTAATAAAAAATAAAAATAAGTATAGTATTAGTGCTTTTTAGTCTAGTGCTTGAATGGTTGAAAGAAAGCATATTTTGGTTGCTTACAAGATCAACATTCTTCAATCTTCTCTCCTTAATTGGGAACTGCCATTTGAAAAATGAGATCAGTCCCTAATAAGCTATTCATACTTTCAGAGATACCATATACTTTGCTTGGGAGATACCATATATGCAATAAGTGCTTATTCTTGGCTTTTGCAACCAAAAAAAAAAAAAAAAGCTGCTTATTTTGTTATAATGAAAACTCATTCTTCTTTTTGACCCATCAAGTTTAGGGGCTTCTTTTCCAATACAATGATTATATGTTTTTCTATTAGACCCATAAAGTTTGACCCATTCTCCTTTGGGCCCATCAAGTTTTGCAGCTTATTTTCTCATGCCATAATTATGAATTTTTGTTCTCACTTTTAAATTGGATAAAAAAAAATTAATTTCTAAGATAAATTATTAAATTAGTATTTAAAATCTAACACTTAATACATTGACTCTCAATATTTTTTTGTCACAATTTAGTCTGTAAAATTTTCTAATTGAAATATATTAAAATAGTTTTAAATGATTTTGAATAATTAAGTTTAAATTAACGATTTATTGTTATTAATTAATTTTTAAATATTTAAATGTAATTTAATTATTTTAATTTTTTAATTAAAAAATTAGATATTTGAAATAAATATAAAAAGTTCAAAATAAAGTTGTAACAAAAAAAAAAGAAAATATAAAGGACCAAATTATAATAAGTTTCAAATTTTATAAATTAATTTGATAATTAATTGGGACCATGTATAGACCCCATTTAAGACAAAGAGAGAGTGAAGGATAAGCAAAAGACACCTTGGGAAGTTTATCTAAAACTATCTATCAATCAAATTATATATGTATGTATGTATATATATATATATATATTAATTATATATTGTTTTTGTTTTTTTTCATTATTTTTTAAAATTTAGTTCTTGTATATTTTCAAACACACGTGTATATATATATATATATGTGTGTGTGTGTGTGTGTGTGTGTGCGTACATACATGTATCTATCAACTTAAGTTGCAATATCACCATCAAAAGCAAAATTGTTGTGCAAAAAAAAATTATGTCTTCTGATTTTGTCAACTGGATCTAATGACAAACTTATTCTCTCACAACTTGCATTATTGATGATCATGTGATTTGACCTTTTTCTTATACTAATACATATAATATTTAGTTATTTCAAATTTTAAAATATAAAAATAAATTTTAATTTTTAATTAGTTATAAATTATACATTATATAATTTTTAAACCTAAAAATAATTTTAATAATACATATAATAATTATCTACTTAATCTTTGAAATGTAAAATTAATATTTATTTTTCAATTGATTTTAATTTATATATTATATAATTAATCTTTAAAATTATAACTTTATTTATCATAGCTTAGTTTTTGTTATTTTATATGAAATTATTAGTTTAAGTTTTTGTTAATACTTTCATTTTTCTTTTAATTTTGGTTTTTAACATTTTGAAAAACTAGTAATTTTATACAAAATAATTAAAATTTAATTTATAAATATTAAATACAAATAAACACTACAAATATTAAATTAATATAATATCAAACTACTTATTTTTAAAGAAAATGAAGCAAAAAAAAACTTAAACGATTAATTATAATGAAATTTTTTGTACTAACAATTATATTAGTGACTTCTTTATTTAAAATGAAAGTGAAAGTTAAATTATATATATACATATACAAACACATATTTTTCATAGTATTCTTTTTTGCGGGACCAAGTTACCGACCTTACAAATAAAAATTCAGCAAAATATCTAAGTATAATAAAATTATAATTAAATCTTTAAAATATTTGGAGATCATGTCCACCAATGCAAACTTTTAATCTGCATATAATATGTATATATGTATATATATATATATATATATATATATAATGGAGGCCTAGGAAAGGATATGATAAAAATGAGTAAGAGTACAACAGATTATAAATTTAATTTAACTTGTGTGACTCTATATTTTTATTAATAAATTATATTATAATTAATGAACATGTTATATTTAATTATTAATAATATGTATAATTTTTTATTAAGAGATACTTTTAATAGTTCTTAAGAACAATATTTTAGTCACAAGTGCTGTAATATTCAGGTCCAAAATTTAATTGGGGATTAATTTAAAAAAAATAAAAATAAAAATAAATACATATAAATATAAATTTTAAATTTATAAATTCTTATTTAATGTCAAAATTAGGAAAAAAATAGGTGAATGATGAAATTGAAAATAATTTTGAGAAAAAGATGTGAAAATTTGGGTTCGAGTGGTATTTTTGAAAGAAAAATCAGAAACTGATGGTCAAAACGCAATTTAAGAAAAATGTGTCACGCAGCACCGCCCAATCAGCAGCCCCGACGAACCGGAGCGCGCTGTGTGGTAAGCCACGTTGACGCGGTACCACACGAGAGGCCACGCTAGCAATCCGCGTGCCCGCGATCGAACAATCCATATTTGTTCCCGCATGCGTGGACGGTCCGGATCCTTTCCCTCTTTAGGCGCGATTGGACGGTCGAGATTAAATGCGATGAACAATCCATATTCATTCTCTCTTTAAACGCGATTGTATGGTCCAGATCAAATCGCGATGAATGGTTCATATTTATTTCATCTTTAAATGCGATCGAATGGTCAAGATCAAATGTAATGAACGGTCTAAATTAAAGGAAGACGAGTATAAATATCTCACTCCACACTGAACTCTAACCCTAGCCGTCAGCCCCCTGCTGAAGAAGAAGAACCAGTCACCGGAGAAGGGTGTAACAGCCCCGGAAATTTAAAATGAAATGTATATTAAAAATATCAAATGCGGAAGCGAAGTCAAAATTTGAATAGCATCCCTTACACTAAAACAAAAAACGTGCTCACAAAATATAAAAGATCAAACTACCTAAAGGAGAAACTTGAAAGTAAAAGCTACGAATATGACTATGGAGTCTTTAGGCGTCCCCTTCGTCGTCCTCCTGCGGAACCGGCTCGGGAACGATGTCCTCTTGATCTGAAATGATTAAATAAGGAATGAGCTACACTAGCCCAGTAAAGACATCACGATATCTCACCGTTACGGAGGTAAAAGTGGGTAGAAAACACAAAAAGACCAAGGGAGCATAATTTACAACAAATCCTTTTATTAATAATAAAACCTTTACCATTCACTTACCTCGATAGAATCCATAAAACAGTGTACGAAAGCAATAACATCATCATCATCATGAAATCATATATAAACTGTATAACATAATACTTATCAAACTTTTCGTAATTCAATCGTTACACAACATATTTTCCTCATTTACCAGCCCACTAGTATCCATGGGGATCCATAGAGGTCCCGCTACCCGTTAACCCTTAACACTTGAAATCATTTTTCCAGGGCCGTCCCCATACCCCGTCCGATATGGGCGCCAAAACTATAGACCTCATTACCCCATCCGATATGAGGGTGAAACGGGCCGTCCCCATACCCCGTCCGGTATGGGCGCAAAACACATAAGATCTCCATACCCCGTCCGGTATGGGAGACCACAATCCCGGTAGGGTTCCCTACGGACCCGGTCCGTCCACCATCTCCCAGGATATCTAGTCAGGCTGACCACATTATACAATTACCCATTTACATAATCCATCATTCTCTTTTCCCTCAGTCAGCATCATCAATCCACATACAAACAAGCAAAACAGTAATTTATGCCAAACAAACAATATACAACATCAATATCCCAGTCATTCAATCCATAATCAATAAAACAGTACAATATGCACACGAAACTATAAAATGAAAACATCAAACCTCATACTCATTTAAAACTGTAAAACAGGCCAAATAACAGTTAACCGACAAACACACTAGACTCGGGCTCCATTAGCGACCTTAAGCAATTTCACACATTCGTTGATTCATGAAATACCATTTTATCATTTATTGAACTTTAAAACCATGATAGGAAATAGGGTGAGGGGTCCTTACATGTTTCGGGGTCCGAACACGGCTTCACAGTGCGCCTACAGGCTGTCCCTAATTTTCCCTGAATTTTTCCCGGGGAACTGAAACGCACTACTGGTGCCTGCACGTGTTCCAAAAAATCCAAAATTAGGCCCAGGGCCCCTTTCGGCCAATATCGCATTTTCGGCACGGCGGCTCTGCCGTGCTCTGGCGACGGCCGGCGGCGATTCGCCTCGGTTTGGCCGTTTTCGGCCGAATTCGGCCACACTTGCATCGATCCTTGCAAAACAACTCTAGGGCCCTCGGGGGGCCAAAAAATTACGGAAAATCGAAGCTTACCGGCGGCGGTGCTCT